CACTGCCTGTGCGTGCAGCGGGTGCTGCAGGAGATGCAGCAGCGCCGCACCGGCCTCAACATCTTCCTGCTGGACATGTGCCGCAAGAGGTGACCCGGCCCTGCCACCCACCTGGGGACAAGCTGCTCGGGGAGAGCCAGCACAGGGACCTGGTGGTGGTGGCTCCTAGGGGCGGGTAGCAGGACACCCCCAGAGTCCCATCTAAACCCACTGTCCTTGTCTAAATGCCCCAAGACTTCACTGCCCCTGTGAGCTAGCAAACACTGTAATGGGTGGGCAGAGCAGCCCTCAAGGTCTGATGCGCTTTGGGGTGGGTTTTGGGGGTGCGACAGGTTCTCAGTCTGTCCAGCTTCTCTTCTCTTGCAGGAACCTCAATGATGACATCATCCCGCAGGTTGGGGCGCTGGAGGTCACGGCCAACATCGTCTTTGGCTATGCCACGTGGGTTCCCTCCCACCATCCTCTGGCACAGGCAGTGGGGCTGAGTCTCCCTGCCTAGCTCAGGGGCTCTGGCCCCCACAGCTGCATCTCTCCACCTTTGATGCTGGAGGGGTTGGGCAAGCGGCAGCCCCCAGTCCCTCACAGGACAGGGAGGTGCCCATGGCACTGCTTGGCTTTGGGCAGCACCTGCTGCCATGAAGCTCCAAGACTCCTCCAGAACACAGGGATGGGCTGGTGATGCTTTAAGCATCCGGGATCTGGCCATGCTTTTGCCTGTCCCCAGCACAGTGGCCAGATGGTGTGACAGGAAAAGTGCTGGGCACCCAGCTCTGGCTTCTTTAGGGCTGTCATCCTGTTTGGGGCCAATTCCCAGGGAGTGCCAGACCCCATGACAGATCCAGCCACTGCCCTGTGCCCGCAGGTGTGCAGATGCCGAAGCCTATGAGCTGAGCCAGGGTGAGCTCTCCAACGGCATCTTCGTCACCTTCCTCAAGCGCTGGCTGCTGGAGGATGAGAAGATCACGGTGCTGCTAGACAAGGTGGCTGAGGGTGAGTGAGGAGCAGTGGGGAACAATGACCTCCCTGGTGGCCCCTGCCAAGCCCCTGTGCCCCTGCAGACATGGGCACCCTGGAGATCACGCGAGGCCGGCAGGCACTGGAGCTCCGCAGCAACTTGTCAGAGAGACGGGCTCTGACAGACCCCATCCGCCCCCCGGGCCAGGATGAGTCCTCTGCCAGGAACCTGCAGTGGGCCAAGGCTCACGGTGAGTCATGGCCACCCTGTCCCAAGCTGGCATCTAGAGGGGGACAGCCCCAAGAGCAGAGAGAGGCTGTGAACCTCTGCTGGGTTCCTCCCACCTGGAGGAGAAACTGCCAGCACAGAGCCACCAGCCTAGAGGCAGGAACAACGTTGGCAGCCCTGCTCTGGGGTGACCCAGCCGCCTCCTCACCTGTGGGTACAGCTCCAGCCCTGAGCCCCTGCAGGTCCCAGCCCTGTGCTCCCTGTGCCCTCCCCAGTCCTGCCGGAGAGCCGGCACCTCCGCTTTGACTGCGGTGTCACCGTGCAGCTGGGCTTCGCTGCTGAGTTCTCCAACATTATGATCATCTACACGCGTGTGGTGGCTGCCCCCAAGGACATCACCAAGTGTGAGGCCCGGCTCACTGATATTCCCGAGGTGGGAGCAGCTGCTGGAGCCCCCACCAGGGCAGCACTGGGGAACGGGGGGAAACGGTGGTGGTCTTCACGTGGATGCTGTCATGGCAGGAGCTGGATGTGGACCTCAAGTGCACCAACAAGGAGAGCCCAGAGGAGCTGGGCAGCCCGCTGGCACCCGTCTGGAGCCTCGGCTGCCCCTCCTGCTGCCTCTACAGCCGGATCTGTGGCTTGCAGAAGCTGCGGGTAAGAGCCATGGCGAGTGGGGGCTGGTGTTGGGGGCACAGCGTGGCCATGGCCGTGCCAGGGCAGGAGCCCATGGTGCTGGTGTCCCCGCAGCAGGAGCTGGCCTTCACTGTGTGCCTGCAGTACCGCTACCAGGGCATGGATGACTTCGTGGAGGAGCGGCAGCGGGTGAACGTGGGGCGGCCGCTCATCGCCAAGCTCAACCTGCAGTGGGCAGCCGCCCCCTCCCCAGCCCACAGCCCCCTCTGCCCCTCTGCCCCCGGGAGCTGGGGGGTAGGGGAGAGCTCATGGGTCAACACCCCTGAGGAGAACCTGAGCCCCGAGGGCCCCAGCTCCCACAGCCCGTAGAGGGACAGTGAGGCCCCACCTGCATCACTCAGTCCCCCGGTGCCATCCCTGTCCTGCTGGGGCACCAGGGGATGGAAGGGGTGCAGGTGACACGCATGGAGGCTGGCCTCCATCCTGGCCTGTGCCAAGGGGTGCAGGTCTCACAGCACAGCACGAATGGGACTGTGGGCCCCCACCACACATCCCTGGCATGGCAGTGCCACCCCCACATCCCTGGGCAGTGCTAGCCCCCCATCCCTTGGCAGTGCCAGCCCCACGTCCCTGGGCAGTGCCAGTCCCCCATCCCTTGGCAGTGCCAGCCCCACGTCCCTGGGCAGTGCCAGCCCCACATGCCAGGCCACCACCAGGCAGTGCCAGGGGCAGAGTGCCAGAGACCACGGCTCAGCGGGCTTGAGGCGTCATGCCGGGGCAGGGCTAGGTTCGTTCAGGCCTGGGAGAAATAGAGAGAAATAAGCAGCTTAGGGGGCAAATCCCGTGGGAGGAGATTACAGGGGTGGGAGCGGGTGGGCTCCTGCTCGGCCACGAGGGAGTGGGAGCACCCCCTGGTACCCCCAGCAGCACCCACTCCTCACAGTCCAGCCCCAGGAACCGGCCCCATCTGGGCAGTGAGCGATTTCAGGACAGGATTGGGATCTAAGGGGGAAAAAAATGTCTTTTTGATTGAGTTTTTCCCACACAAACTCCCGCATGCTGGGTATCCACCAGGGAAAGCACCAATAAAGTGGTCCGGCCAGGCGGCTCAGTGCTTCTCCGCCCTCCCTGCGTCTTAGTGGCATTTTTGGGCTCAGAAATCTTGCCGGTTCCTGCAGGAGGTGCAGCGCAGCACCGGGCGCACCCAGCGGAGGGAAGGGGGGTACCACGTGCGGGTACCCCGACACTCCCCGTGCCACCCCAAGGACAGCAGCTGGCTTCCATCGCTCGCACAGCCCCCAGCGCCCGGAGCCGCATCCTGCTGCCGGGGCCCCTCCGCGCTCTGGGCCGGCCGCGGGCGCACCCTCGCCCCAATTAGGCTCCGATCAAACGGGCCGGGGGTGCGGCGCTCCGCTCCCAGCGCCAGCCTGCCTTTGTTGGCGCTCGGGAGGCCGAGGGGTGCCCCGGGCTGGCGCCAGCCTCGGCAATTATGTCATGTGAAAGGCGCAGCCCCCATTGAGCGCGTCCCGTCCCCCGGATCAAACCCCATTACTTCCGCAGCCGTTGCTTCATTATCTGCCGGCCGGAGCTCGCCTCGGCCGGGGCGCTTCACCCCATTAGCTGGGCCGGGGAGCCGGGGAGCATCGATTATGCGTTTAATGGCTTGTTAAAGGTTTAATTGTCGCTAACGAAACAGACGAGCAGCAGCAGCCGGGGGACGGGGCACAAGGAGAAGGGTCTCGCCGGGGTCAGTGCCTCGCCTGGCTTCCCGGCCAGACCCGCCCGACCCCGGGCTCTGCAGTCCGGCCCCGGGGGGTTTGGAGCGGGGTGAGACCCCGGGCTGGGGGGCACTGCAGGCGGGGGCGCTGGCACTGAGCGGGGTCTGGCCCGGGGATGCGGTGGGGATGGGGCTGCCCCAGCAGCTCTTGTCAGGTCCGGAGTGGGAAGATTTTCTGGGGAAAACCTTTGGTGGGAGGTGGGTTGTCCCTCGTTTGGTTCCTTCAGGGACTAGGGCACCCCAGGAACCTAGGACACTTCAGGGCATCCCAGGGACCCGGGGCACCCACTCACCAGGGATAAGCCCCCCTGTCTTGCTGTCCCGGCTGTGCTGAAGCCCCTCAAAGCCACTGTGGGCTCAGCCATGTGCTGGAGTCATGCTGGCCTTTGCCAGCGGTGAGGGTGATGGTGCCACCGGCTGTACCCCAAGCTGCAGTGGGTGGGCAAATGGGGCAGAGCTGCAAAGCCACTCTGGAGACTCCTGAAGACATGGCACCTTGTCACCACTCCCCAGCTCCCACCTTGCAAGGAACACTGGCAAGGGGTAAGCCAGGTGTGGTGTGCCCCAAGAACCCTGCTGTGGTGAGCCTGGGCTCACAGCCAGCTGCCTCCTCTCACCAGAGCTCTCAGGGGTCCCGCTGCACCCATTCTCCCCCCAGCACAATTCCAGCAGCCCTCTGCCACTGGCACCTCTGGGAGTGTTGGGGCGGGGGGCAGTGGGCACAGCCCCCACGGGGCAGTCGAGCAGGGGACCTGTGACAGGCTGTTGAGGCCACGGAGCAGCACAAGCCAGTCCCAGGTCACCTGTGCCTGCACCTGGCCCAGCCCTGGCAGCATCCCGAGGGAGCAGGGCAGGCGGGTGCACAGGGATGGCGCTCCCGTGCCCTCATGGAAAGCTCCTTTCTGGCAGAGGCTTGGCAGCCACGCCGTGCTAAGGAGGGCACGGCACGACCGCGGCCCCGCAGCGCCCAACTCCAGCATGCAGCAGCCATCCAGCTTTTGTCTTTACTCACAATACACCCGTGCTCTCGGCGCATCTCCTGGCACGACCAGCAGCGTGCCCCAATGCAGCTAAAACATCCCCCCAAGTACTCCCTACAAAACTAGAGCTTTCTGTTCAGTTTTGTTTAAATCTGCAGCATTAAAAAAAATTAATAATAATGGAAAAGGGTGGGGGGTGTGGAGAAAGGAGGTGTCCAGCTGGGGTGTGGTGGGTGGCCCGGTGGGATGCCTGAGCCTCAGCCAGGTCCTTAGCTGATCTTGGTGCCTCAGAGAGGCAAAGGAGCTCTCCTGGAGCGCTTCCCCCAGCCGTGGGGCCCTGCCAGCACCCTGACTCGCTCCCCTGACACCACCCGTGCTGGGTCAGTGTGGGGAGGAGGCAGCCTGGCATCCCTGCCCGGGGCCAGCTGTGGTCCTGCTGAGCACCCGCTGTCCCCCCTCGCCGTGGGGCCGAGCCGGGGCAGGAGCGGCGGCTGGGGAGCTCGGAGGGGAGCGTTCATCAAATGGGCTGCCAGGTCTTGTCAATGGTCTGAATGTGCTCCTTGGCTTTCATGCGGAGCGAGGCGATGCTGGAGCTCCTCTGGTCCACCTCCTCCAGCGGGTACTTGTCCACAAAGGGGGTGCCGCACTGGTAGGGCGCGGGGGCCATGGGCTGCATGCCCTGCGCCATCGGCGGGGGCGTGTTGAGGAAGGAGTGCCCAGCATAGGGGGGCTGCAGGGCCTGGGGGGCTCCCATGAAGCCGGGGATGCTGTGGACCGTGGTGGCACTGGAGATGGGGGACGTCAGCCATGGGTCCAGTGGGAGGGAGTTGCTCATGGGCCCCACGTTGGGGGTCATGGGGGGCCGGTTGAAGGAGAGCACAGGGGTGTCGTGGAGCTTCATGGAACTGGCCTCCATCTTCTCCTGCCTTCTCCACTTGGCTCGTCGGTTCTGGAACCAGACCTGCGAGGTGAGAGCCAAGGTGAGCTCACTGTGCCCAGGTGGGGAGAGTGTCCCTCATGCTATGTCCCATGCAGGGTATCCCAGGCAGGGTGCCCCATGCCTCTGCCCCAGGCAGGGTGCCCCACAGGGAGCGCTCAAGGTGGGGGTGTCCCATATGAGGTACCCACAAGGGCTATCCTACAGGACTCCAGCAACCCCAGCACCTCTGCCAGACCTCTCTACCAAGCCCCAGAGACCAAGGACACCTCCAAGGTGTGGAAGTGAGAGGTGTAAGCACACAGCCCCTTTTCCTCCGTGGGAACATGCAAACTCCTTCCTCCCTGGCCCTGCAAACTCCCAGCAGTCCATGGGACAATGCTATCCGACCTTCCCAGCCCCTTGGTCACAGCTTTTATAAGTTAAACAGCCACAGTTGTGCCAAAACCCAGCAGGAACGACAGGGACTGGCGACCCAAATCCAGTGGGGACGTCTGGCCCCGTGGGAACTGCTCATTAAAGCGCTGGTCCCCATGTCCCCAGAGCAGCACAGGGCACAGGGGTCTGCTGCAGGAAGAAAAGGGGAGGAAAGATGAATGGCTGGGTGGGAAAGGGGAGGGTTCCATGGGCTGCTCACGGCTGTTGTGGACACTGGGCTGCACTGGTGCAAACTGCATGTCCAGAGAAGGGAATGGAGCTGGGGAAAGGACTGGAACGCAGCCGGATGAGGAGCAGCTGAGGAAGCTGGGAGAGCTCAGCCTGGAGAAAAGGAGGCTCAGGGGGAACCTTCTGGCTCTGCACAGCTCCTGACCCGAGGGGGCAGCCAGGGGGGATCAGGCTGTGCTCCCAGGGAGCAAGGGAAGAGCACAGGAGGAAACAGCCTCAAGCTGCCCTAGGGGAGGGTTAGATTGGAGATTGGTGGAAACTTCTTCCCTAGGGCAGTGATGGAGTCCTCATTCCTGGAAGGACTTCTAAGACACGTGGATGTGGCCCTTGGGGACATGGATTGGTGGTGGCCTTGGCAGTGCTGGGGGAGCAGTTGTACCCTATGGACTCAAAGTGCTTTTCCAACCTGAACAATTCTGTGATTCTATGAAACTTGTTGTTGCTCAGAGAGCTCAGCAGATGTGTCTCTATGGTTTTTGGACCCGCACAAAAAAGTCTGCATTGTCTTGACTGTGGCTGAGGCCTGGGGAATTCAGTTCATTAGTTTGGGGGCTACTGCTTTCATTCACAGTGGGTTGGTTACTTCAGCTCCCTGACCCTTTCTCCCTCCTGATCTCACCCCATCAGTCCAGGCATGGTGGGGAGAAGACTGGGGGAAGACCCAGGCTCTTCCCAGGCCCTGCTGTCCCCCAAAGAGCCTTTTGCTGCAGCCTAAGGAACAAGTCATCCCCAGCCCCACTGCCCTGCTCCAACAGGCTTAAAACCTTCAATTCCATGAGGATCTTGTGCTTTCCCAGCCCAAAAACCTGGAAGGTGCCACAATCAGCCAAGGTGGCCGCTTTCCCATGTGGGCAGCAGGAGGGATGGGAGCAGCCACCACTAGAGGGGGAAAAGGTTTCTGAGAACCATCTCTGTGCCCCAACGGAGCCTCTGGCCCCTGGGCCCAACTGAGACCTTGTAAGTCAAACTGAGACCCCATGGAGGAACAAGGCTCAGCCATTAAACCCTTTCCCTGGCTTTGCTGGGAGCAGCTGGCTCTGCAGAGATGCCACTCTTGTCTCGAGCTGCGGGGAAACTGAGGCACAGGCACTGGAGGTGAGAGCTGAGAGGAGCTCTCCAGCACCTTGGGGTCCCTCTGCCACTGCTCAGGGAGGGATCCGGGCTGCAGGGGTGTTGCCCTTCCTACCTGCACGCGGACCTCCGGCAGGTTGACCTTCATGGCCAGCTCCTCGCGGCTGTACACGTCAGGGTAGTGGGACTTCTCGAAGGCACGCTCCAGCTCGTGCAGCTGGTACGTGGTGAAGGTGGTGCGGTTCCGCCGGTGCTTCTTCTTGGGCTGCTCCTCCTCGGCGGCGGCCGGCGGGGTGCCCTCGCCGTCCCCCGGCTTCCGCAGCTCCCCCAGGTCCCCCTCGCACTTATTCAGGAACATGGTGGCACCTGCAGGGGCACTGCAGAGTTAGAGGGGCCTGGGGGCATTGGGCCCCCCACGTGTCCCCAGCCCAGGGATGGACGGACAAGCAAACTGAGGGATGGGAAGGTAGGGTGGCCCTAGGAACAGGTTATGCAAAGGCATAATCCTCTCTGCCACAGCACAGGATCCCAGGCTGTGGTGTCCTGGGGGCTGATCCACAGGCCCAGGGACTGAGCCGGGGTCCTGGGACTGACCCAGAATCCAGGAGATGCCTCGGACTTGGCTCTGCTGTCAGGTGCCACCAGGCCAATGAACCCGCTGGTGCTAAAAGTCAGATTTCTTCTAAAATGGAGGATTTGTGAAAGTACCATCACTGAGAGCCAACCTGATCTCTCTCTGCCGTGGCCTGGAGGGGACCAAGCCTGGGTTAATTCCCTCCTTCCTCCCCTGCTCCTCTTGTCCAGCCTCTTCCATGGAGAAGGCTGGCCCTGGAACACTGGAGACGCAGTGTCTGTCCCCAGGCTGGGAGGAGTGACCCGGCGCTGTCCCCCAGCTAATAACCGTTTTGGTGACGCTTATAAGCATTTTCAACCCTCGCAACGTTTCATCTTTAAGCTTTTTATCCGGCATCTGAAATCTTCCTGCAGTATTTGCAGGGGATTAAGGGTCTCTTTCCACCATGAGGATGTCGGCAGACATGGAAATGGGGCATAAAACTGTAATCCTGGGGCAAGGGGAAGGCTCTGCATTGCCCAGAGCCGCCAGCAAAGACTCACCCAATGCCTCCATGGGAGTGGGAGGGAAAAGGAGAGTGGTTCATGCTGGGAGGGGGTAATGGGGGTCCTAGCAGCGAGCAGGGGCTGGGTGTCAGCTGTTGCCCAGGCTGCACACACAGGGGTGTCTGGGTGGGGTGCTGTGTGTGCAGTGGGTGTGTGCTGTGTGCCCGTACCTGGGCAGGGGCCCAGGGGTGCTCCCAGTGAGGCACAGGTGTGGGGGGAAGGTGTGCTGGGCTGGGCATGCAATGGAGGGTGTGCAGCAGTGCACAGCGGGGATGGGGTGTGTGGGAATGGGGGTGTGCAGGGTGGGGTGTGCAGGGATGGGGGTGTGCAGGGATGGGGGTGTGCAGCAGTGCACAGCGGGGATGGGGTGTGTGGGAATGGGGGTGTGCAGGGTGGGGTGTGCAGGGATGGGGGTGTGCAGGGATGGGGGTGTGCAGCAGTGCACAGCGGGGATGGGGTGTGTGGGAATGGGGGTGTGCAGGGTGGGGTGTGCAGGGATGGGGGTGTGCAGGGATGGGGGTGTGCAGCAGTGCACAGCGGGGATGGGGTGTGTGGGAATGGGGGTGTGCAGGGTGGGGTGTGCAGGATGCACACGGCAGCAGTGCCAGGGTGCAGTGCCTGTGTGCCATGCAGGCAGCACACGCTGTGCAGTGTCTGCACTGCTGCACGCAGGGCACAGTGAGTGTGCACAGCGCTCATGCATGGCATGCACAGCTCCGTGGGTGTGCAGGGAGCAGAGTGTGTGTGGGCCACGCACAGCCCGTGGCACAGGAGCTGTGGGCACCCAGTGTACCATGTGTGCAGTGCACATGGCACAGGCAGCAGAGGCACGTGCAGAGCCTGTGGCACACACCATGCAGTGCAGCACATGCAGTGTGTGTGCATGTGTGTGGCAATGTGCAGTGCCTGCCCAGCGTGTGCTGTGTCTGTGCAGTGCAGCCAACACGAGCAGCGTGTGCCTGGTGCTGCTGTGGTGTGCTCAGAGCGTGTGCTGTGGGTGTGTGCTGTGGGCAGTGTGTCCAGTGCAATCAGTGCCTGCCCAGGGGCTGCTTGTGCAGCGTGTGCAGCATGTACAGGGTGTGCAGCGTGTGCAGTGTCTGCAGTGCCTGCAGTGTCTGCAGTGTGTGTTGCACACCCAGTGGGTGCTGTACTCCCACAAGGGCTGTGCACATGTGGTGCAGTGTGTGCAGGGAGTGCAGCAGGGTGTGTGTGCCTTTGGGAGCTGGAGCCCCCCCTGACACCCCACAGCCCCTGGCGGGGTGTCTGTAGCCCCAGGGGCTCTGGGTCCAGCCCAGCAGTCTCAGGCTGCCTCAGGGGAGCCACAAGTCAGGGCAGGGGTGGTGGGTGCTGCACCCTGGGGTGCCCCAAGGCAGCGGTTGTGGGTGGGTCTGGGGGAAGCAGGGGCCCTGAGGTCTGTGTGAGCATCACAGCATGTTCTGGGGTTGGGGACACAGGGAGGGGATGGGGTCCCCCACTGACATCCTGCTCTCACTTACCTGCTTCTCATTTGCGCAGCTCCACACCTGCAAGGAGAGGAGAGAAGGGGGCTGAGCACCTGGAGCACCCTCCCGAGGGACCCAGCACCCCATCAGGATCCCCATCTGCCCTGCCCAGCCGTGACCCATGGTCCCATGGAGCAATGGGGGAGCCACAGCTGAGGGGGAGCTGGAAGGAGCTGGGGCAATGGGAACGGGTGAGATGGGCACTGGGGGGATGAGTGAGAGAGGCTGGGGGGCTGGGGAAAAGAAGGGGCAAGCAGGAGAAGAAGAGGGGCAATGGTGGGGGACAGGGCTGAGGTGCAGAGACGAAACCCCATGGTTCACCCCCTGACCCCATCAGAAAGCAAAGGAGGCAACAACTTCCCAGGGAGCAGCAAAGCCTGACCTGGGAGCACAGAGGAGCCAAGAGCAGCAGAGCAGCAGTGACAGGCAGCAGGGCAGCACCCCGGACCCTGCAGGATGGGGGCAAGGGCAGGACCCCCGCCCCAATCTGCCCTGGCCTGGCTGGGGGGCACAGAACGTCCTGAGTGGGGAAGAGGGGCATTACAGCTCAGGCTGGGGGACATCAGCACCAACCAACCACCCCATTTTCCCCATCCTCCAGGGACTGGCCTCAGGACTCCCCAGCCTTTGCCACCGGTGTTTTGGGAATCCTGCCTGCAAACAGGCCACGCTGAGCTGGGGGTGGGGAACTGCTAAACTCTGCTCCCAAAGGACACCTTCCTGCAGCCACTGTCATGCAATTTTTGGGTTTAAGCCCAAAATTTTGGGGTTTTAGCAGCAATTTTTGGGTTTAAGCCCTTAAGCTGCAAAACTGTGCTGGGAACCATAAGGACCCAGTACCTCAGGAGAGTTCTTCCCCCCTCTCCTCGATGCTCCAGCCCATGGTTTTCCTGTGGGGGCTGCTAGCTGTGGGGAGGGAATGGCTGCTGGTAAAGACACCCAAAAAAGCAACAGAAATGACATTGAGCCCTGGTCAAAGTGGGTAAAACCCCTCACTTCCTGAGCACTGCCAAGCATCAGTGAGGACAGGTGGCCTCCCCTGTCAGCAGGGGATGTGGAAGAGACAGCCCAGGGACAGCCCCCCCTTCCGCTGGGACCCCATTCTTTGCCTTTGGAAGCCCATCTGGGCGCCCAAATTTGGCTCCCTGGGCTCGAGCTGCCAGGGATGGGTGGTCAGAGCATGGTGGCTCCTGCCCCTGGCTCTGTGTCACTCAGGGCGAGTGACACTGGCCGGCGCCCGCACCCGCTCCTGAGTCCCCAGGGAATGGTGCCAGCCCCGTCCCCAACACCAACCCAGGCACACCCTGGGGACACCCACTCCCTTTCTCAGCACCTTCCCTCGGCGCTTTGTCCCGAATTGGAAAAAAACGGCGTTACCTGCTGGGCCCAACTCGGCTTTTCCAGGAGTATTTAACTTTGCTGGTCCCTCCCGGGAACCAAACAAGCGGCTCAACCTCACCAATCTCGCAGCTTTGGCAGCCAAAGTTGCCTCTAGTCTTCTTATTTGTCACAGAACCGCCGTGCTAAGGCTCGGGAGAATCTTTATTTAGTGTTGCAGATGTCACCAAGGCACCGCAGATTGGAAATGAGTCCAAAGGATTAAGACGAGGTTATTAATTGGAGGCCTTCCCCTTTAAGAATGATTGACAGTTACTTTCTGGACAAGTAATTGCTCTAAATGTCCCCCCAGCACGGGTCCGGGGGGGCAGTGGCGGACAAAGCCCCGAACTGCCTTCCCCACTCGGATTGTCTCCCCACAAAGGCGTCCTGCTGGAGTTTGCCGTGTAATCCCCTCATTACGGGCGAGGAGAAAGAATTAGAAACAGGGGGAGCGGAGAAGAAAGGATGGAGGGGGAGGGGGCAGGATTTCCTTGGACTGCGGAGCCTCTGCCCCAGGGATGGGGTCCGGGGCAGATGCCCCAAGCCTCAGTGGGATGGGGATGCTGCAGTGATGGGTGTTGTCCCCCCTGGACGGGGATGGCGAGCCTGGGGGTGGCCCTGTGACAGCGTGGGTGGCCCTGTGGCTCCCAATGGTGCTGTCTGCAGAGCCCTGTCCACGTGGGGAGCAGAGATGGGGACAGCGTGGGGACAGGGATGGGGACCAGGCATGGGGTCCAGCGTGAGGACCCAGGGTGAGGGCACGGCCTGGGGACCTGCTCTGGGGTCTGGCTGTGGGCCCAGGTGTAGGGACCAGCCACAGAGACCAGCCCCCCTGAGCAGCCCTGGGCACCTGATATGAAGACCAGGCAGGGAACACTCACGGGGACCAGAGCAGGGACCAGGCAGGAGGGCCAAGTGTGGGGAGCAGCCATGGGGCAGTGCCCATGGGACCAGGTGTGGGCATGACTCACGGACATGGGACTGAGCACTGGGCCCGGCATGGGAACACCCTGTGGGGAGCAGCTGTGGGATTCAGCCAAGGGGACAATCCCTGGGGGGTGCCCATGGGCCCTGGCCTAAGGGGGTGTGGGACAAAGGCAGCCAGGCTGAGGGGCAGGGCTACCATTCTTCTCCTCCACACTCCCACTGCTGCACTGGGCCCCAAAGAATGATGGAAACATCATGGTGGAGGTCCTGGGCTGTGCTTGGTGCTGCCCACAGCCCCCATCAAGGATTTTGCCCTTTTCTTTCTTTGCTCACTTTTACTTTCTCCCAAAACCATCTTCCTGCCACCTGCAACCGCTGCCACCCCCGGGCCTGTCTAGGCTTCCTCCCACTCCCTTCCCCTCCTCGCCACGCTTCCCCTTTCAGTTGGCAAACGTCACTGTGGGGGTTTTGGACCCTGTGCCAGGTGGCTGCTGGCCCCGGGGTGGGTCTGTGCCCTCCCCACCAGAGCTGCTGTTGGTGAGACCCCACACCCCCTCTGTGTCCTGGTGTGGGCCCTGAGGCCACCCCGTTGTCCCCCACGGGGCTGTGAGGCTTCACCTGCCCTGTCTCACACCTCTTTGGGGACAGTGTGATGTTGTCTTGGGGATGGCACGCCACTACCCCAGGGACAGTGTGCCACCACCCCAGGGGCAGGCTGGCACTGCCCTGGGGACGGCAAGACCACACCCCAGGGATGGCATGACCTGCACAGGGAGGCCATGCAGCCCCTGGGTCCCGGGTGACACCCCCGTGCCATGCAGCGCTGCAGGAGTGCAGGGGAGAGCAGGGACCTGCTGCCTGCAGAGGTGCTGGGGACATCCCTGGGCTGGGGCAATGTGTGGGGCAGGGGGGATGTGTGGGGCTGGGGGATGTGTGGGGCAGTGGGCAGGGGGATGTGTGAGTCTGGGGCAGTGTGTGGGGCAGGGGGGATGTGGGCAGGGGGATGTGTGAGTCTGGGGCAGTGTGTGGGGCAGGGGGGATGTGGGCAGGGGGATGTGTGAGTCTGGGGCAGTGTGTGGGGCAGGGGGGATGTGGGCAGGGGGATGTGTGAGTCTGGGGCAGTGTGTGGGGCAGGGGGGATGTGGGCAGGGGGATGTGTGAGTCTGGGGCAGTGTGTGGGGCAGGGGGGATGTGGGCAGGGGGATGTGTGAGTCTGGGGCAGTGTGTGGGGCAGGGGGGATGTGGGCAGGGGGATGTGTGAGTCTGGGGCAGTGTGTGGGGCTGGGATGATGTGTGCAGGGGGATGTGTGAGTCTGGGGCAGTGTGTGGGGCAGGGGTGCAAACCAGGCCCCACTTGCCCGATGCCCCTGCTGGCCACCGTGACGAGTGCCGGAGCCGTGTGCCCCACACCGACGGCCCTCGGCAGGGTCCCCAGGGTGCCCCCCTGGCCCGGGGTGCGGGAGGGTCCCCGGGGTGCCGGGTTTGGGCCGGGACTGCCCAGCTGCCCGCGCTCTGTGTGCCGTGCCGGCCGCCACAAGGTGTTGCCTCGCCCGGGGGGAGGCAGCGGGCTGATTTGCCAAATGATTATAATTGCCTTTTAGGAGCAGATAGCAAATTGATTTGCTTCCTTGTCCAAGGCCCGTAATCGCTTCATCACTTTAAAATATTAATGCTATACTTCTTTGCTAGTTTCCCAATTACCCTAATTGAAGGCAAATTGGTTAAGAAGGTGCAATGCAGAGTATCAGGGGGTTTAGTTCACTCAAATGACAGTTTTAAACCTCCCTAATCCTATTAGCGCGCAAAGCTGCTAACGCTTAGAGACGCTGCGTCAGCTTACCGGGGCGGTGGGGCCGGAGGCGGGGGTCGGGCCGGGGGGCGGCCGGGGGCCACCGGCCTCACGTGACCAGCTCGGCCGGGGATTTATCACTTTTTTAGTTCATTAAGAGGCCTTTAGCAGGCGGGGAGGCAGCAGGGGTGACCCAAAAGGGTGCTGAGCGGGAGGCAGGTGGCAGCACGGGGAGGGCGGGGGGGCAGGACGATTAGCCAAGGAGACCTGGCGGAGGGTCCTGACCCGAATCCCAGCTGGCGCTGGGAGTCCCCATGCAGCCCCACTGGGAACACTGGGAGAGGGCTGCCCATCAGAGCAGGATGGGACCCTGATGTGGAACGGCGATGGAGGACGGAGGTGGTGGTGGCAGAGCTCGTTGGGGACCTCAGTGCCACCATCCCAGCAGCTGGCACTTGGTGGCGATGTGGGGTGGGATCAGCGTTGTGCTGGGTGCCACGGCTGCTAACACCCTGTCAGATCCTGGCGAGGGACTGGCGTGGCACAGGCGGTCCCACCCCACAGGTGGGGTTTGTGCCCGAAGGGAGATTTCCTGAGTTCTGAAGAAAAGCTGGTGAGCGGGGATGAGAATGATGGTAGAGACAGCAGGGATGATGAAGTCAGCGGGGACAGTGGGGCCATCAAACATCCCGGTGCCAGGCCCGGCCTGTCTCACGCTCCCTGGGATGCTCCGGCAGCCACCAGCCGCGGCGCTGGTACCGGAGGGGTTCCGGGGGAACCGGGCACCTCGCGCTCCAGGGTCCCCCCATCCGTGCGCTCCGGCTCCTCAGCGCGGCTCAGTGCTCCGGTGGCAGCTCGGGGACAGCTCGGGGACAGCTCCCAGCCCAGCTGCGCTGGGTCCGGCCGCCCCCTCGAGCCCGGCCAGCGCGGCCGTGGGCAGCCCGGCCAGGGCCGGCCCCGCAGCCTTTCCGGAGCAGATGGCAGCGGCGTGGGGAGGATGGAGGCGGCTCAGCGCGTCCTTCCTTTCATGCACACACAGCGTGATTCCCGGCGGCCCCGGCTCCGGCGGGAGGTGCCGCTGGGGCCAGCGCCGGGCCCTGTACATTTTACACGGGTTCAGCGAGCTTAGTCCTCGGGGACAGGCGACTCAGGAAGATTAGACCTCGCTAAAATAGGCAGGAATTAGTGATCTCAGCAGCCCCCGGCCTTCCGGCGAGGCGGCATTTAAGCCAGCGCTGCTGCCGAGTGCCCAGGACAGAGTCCCTGGCGGGGCAAGAGGCAGCCGGGCAGCCTGGCCCGGCCAAAGGGATGCCCCTGCTGCCCGCACCGAGGGGATGCTCGACACGGGAGTAAATGCTCCACACCCGCTCCCGGTGCCGTCCCCAAGGGGTAGCCAGGGGGATCCCCGCGTCCCAGTGAGGGCCGCTGCGAAAGAGGGGGACGGACCCAGTGGCCAAGCTGGTTGGTGGCTCAGGGGACATGGGGCAGCCCGGCTCCAGCGCTGTCATCATGTCCCCTCACCAACCAGGACAGGGACTGTGTGGCTGCGGGATGTGGCAGGACGACCAGAATGGTGCCGGCAAATGCTGTAAATGCTGTATTTATTCAGCCAAATGGTGCAGGGTGCCAGGGCTGGTGAGGAGGGTAGTGGTGTCAGGGACCTGCCCCATGTGGGGGCTCACACCAGGAGCACCACGACAGGGACCTGACCATAGCGGCTGGAGGGGACCCAGGCATTCTGCACCCCTGCACACTCTGGGAATGGTTTTGGGGAAGAAAACCCACGCCTAACGTGTATTGGGACCCGCACCCCAAGTGAAGGCACCCAGAGCCGCCGCATCCCGTGGCTCCCGGGGACAGGGGCTGCCTTTGTCACCTGCAGCGGTGCTACATCAGGGCGCACTTCTCCCTGACCTGCTCCGCGCCGCCCAGAGCGCGGTCCCGCAGCGCCGGCAGCTCCACCTGCCGCAGCCTCGCCAGGAAGGCGAAGGCCCCGGCGCTGCCATCCTCCTCCTCCTCCTCGCTGTGCACCATGGCTGCCAGGTCCTGCGGCAGCTCCACCGCCCCTCCGGCCACGTGCACCTGGGCGTCGTCCCGCTCGTCCTAAACGCGGGTGGCAGAGGGTGTCGGGGGGGGACAGACGCGGTGCCTGCCAGGGCGGAGAGGGGGACGCGGACAGAGAACAGCCAGTCCCAGGGGGCTGCGGACACGGCGGGATTCCAGGACTGTCCAGTGCCAGACTCGGACGCCGGATGGACAGTGGGCAGCAGATAGTAAGGCGGAGACAGTGGCCGTCTGCTGCCCTCTTCAGGAATCCCTCCAGCCCAGGGGAGCGCGGCAGCCGCGGGCCTGAGGCTGTCCCGGTCGATGCAGGGTCAAGGGGAAGCCCCCGGGTGTGCAGACAGGCTGGTTCTTACCTGGGCCAGGTGGTACTTGTCCCGCAGGTGCATCCGCACCGTGGCCCGTTCTGCCTTCCTCTGTGCAAACGCCTTGTCCCGCTCGATCCTGCAGCAGGTGCCACACCATCACCCCCCCTCACTGAGCTCCCCAGGACCACCCGACCCTAATCACCCTGCTCCTCCTGCACAGCAGGCCTAGGGCAGGAGGGAGAAGGTCTGAGACCCACAAGAAGGTTAGAGTGGGGATCTGGGAGCAGGAGCCACATCCTGTCCACCCACCTCTGCACCCAGATTCAGAGGTGGTTGATGAAGGCGCCCATTGCAGGCACTCGCTTTCCTGCAGCCTCTCATCTCCCTGGTGCTGAGCTGCTGGCTTCCCACAGCGCCCAGTCCTTGGGAGGTGGGACCTGAATCCAATCCCATGCTGACCCCCATCCCTTGGCTCCAAGGGTGCTGGGCTGGAACCACCCTGGGACTCTGACACCTAGGGACTCCCCTTGTCACCTGTGGTGCACAAAAGTGCTGTCACAGCCCTGTGCCAGGACCTCCATGGACCTGCTATGCTGTGGGGAAGACACGCTGAAGGGCACCTGCTCTGCACTGTCTCTTGCCCCAGCTGCCTCCCTGTCCCTGTCCTGTGCCACCCTGGGGAAAGCCCACAGCAGGTGGGATCCTGATTCTGGAGTGCTGGGGGACCCTAGTGACCCGCTCAGCCCAGCAAAGCCTTACTTCTCCTCCAGCAGCTGCCGCTGGTACTCCTCAAACTCCTCGCGGGCCATGCTGCTGGGCAGCGCAGCTGCCTTGTCATCCTTGGGGGCCCCCTTGGGGGACTCGTCCTTGCCCCCCTGGAAGCTCTTCAGGGCGGCTGTGAAGAAGGAGGCCATGGTGGGTGGTGGTGGCAGCTCCTGCCCCAAGGTGCCCACCGGGTCCCAGAGCCTGCAAGGTCAGTGGGCCCAGCCCCAGGGGCACCGCGGATCAGGGGCGGATTAAGGCATTAGGAGGGGAGGGCACAGCCAGGGTGGAAGGACCTTCCCTTCGCTGCACCCAAGGGTGCTTGCAGGGGACAGTGGCAGTGCGGGGGGACAGCAGGTGCTGCTCATCACAGTGACAGGGAGGTGGAAGGAGTCATCAAACTGCAGCACACACTGGGTCAGGCTGCACACCCTCCATTACATGGGTCCAAAATTGGGTCAGCACCCATGGGGCTGGGGCAAGCCCTGGGGAGAAAACCATGCCGTGGGCACCCAGAACCTTGCACTCAGGGAGATTGGGGGTGCAGGAAGTCAGCACAGAGGAGACACAAGAGGATTAGCCGAAAAACCCAGTCGAGGGTCAAAGGACTGGCAGCAGATGAGGCGGTGGCGGTGCACACCCACCCGCGGCAGCCCCGCGCCCCCGCTAATCCCCGCTCCACGATTCTGAGATTGCTGGGCAGCCTGCGGGGCCGGGGCTCCCCAGCCTGGATGCGCCCCGTGCCCGTAATCTATATGAAAGCAATTCCCATACAGGCTCTGATTAAAGCATAATCCCCTGCTGCACAGAGCCCCAGTGGGAGAGGGGCTGGATGGCATGGGGGGTTCCAAGGGCCAGAGCTCCTGGCCCCCCCCAAGCCTTTCACAGGGCTTTGTCAGGCCCCAAGTGAGACATAGGCCTGATTTCACCCCAGAGGCTTAAAGATGCTGTTGAACGAATTTCTTTGGTTTAATCAAAAAGCCCAAATCCATGTGGTTTAGCTGGCTGTGCCAGCATCCCCGTGTGGGGCTGGGCACTGGGGCAGGGCTGAGTCAGGGTGGGGTCTCATCCTCCAGTGAGTGGAGATGTCCAGTCCTGTCTCCCATCACTGGGAGTCACAGCTTGAAGGGACCCCACACGCAGCATCTGCTCCTGGGGCTGAGCACAGGGGGTGTGGGCTTGGCTCCCTTGGGGTCTGTGCTCCCCACTCTGGTGGGCCAGGGGACATCAATCCCATGGCAACCTTCTCTGGGCTGTGTGGTGGGTAGAAGGACCATGCTGAGATGGAGGGAGGCTGCTGCTCCATCTCCACAGGGAGAGAGCAGCACCACAGCCCTTCCTGTTCCTGCCCCCTGCTGCCACTCCCAACGCTGGAGGGTCTAGGGACTTCAGGTCCTGTGTCCTGGTAGCAGGATGGGGGTTAAATGTCCCTCAGGTGCTTCAGCTCCTTCTGCAGCTTCTCTGTGAGTTTCTTGAAGGATGGGCGCTTGCCTGGCTCCAGCTCCCAGCAGCTCTTCATCAGGGCATAGATGGTGGGTGGGCAGCCCTCGGGGGGGTCCATGCGGTACCCCTGCTCCAGCAGCTCCGTCACCTCCTTCAGGGCCTGCCGGGATGGAGAAGCCAGCTGGCAACCCCCTTCCCTGCTCTGCTCAGGCAGCAGTGGGATGTCCCTGTCCCACCAGTGCCACTGGGGTGTAACCTGGCACAGAGCTCACCAGCTTAGGGTAGGGTGCCCGTCCAAAGGAAAAGGTTTCCCACAGGAGGATCCCGTAGCTCCACACGTCTGACTTGGAGGAGAATTTCTGTGGTGGCAGGAGAGGGGAGGCTGAAGCCAGCTGAGTGCTGTGCTGGGTCCCCGTTGCTTCCCAAGGGCAAGACAGAGGACAGTGACTGCCCCCTGCCCCCCCTCAGGTCCCCAGGGTGTGAACACCCCCCAGTCCCACCATCCTGCCCCAATTCCCACTGCGTGCCTGCTCAGGACAGAGGCAAAATTTTGGGAGATGCAGGGCTGACTGTGCCAGAGGCCACTGTGGGGCAGGGATGGGTCAGTGGGAATGGGAACAAGCAGGGGCAACCCAAGGGCGTGAGATGCTTTGGAAGGACCCCCTGACCAGCCCTGTCCCTCTCACTGTCCCTCACATTGTGTTTCAGGGCCTCTGGTGCCGTCCACTTCACAGGAAGCAATGTGGCATCTGCACCCTTGGGGTTGACCCGGGCCAAGCCGAAGTCGCTCACTTTGGCCACGTTCTCCTCGGAGATGAGGATGTTGCGGGCAGCCAGGTCCCGGTGCACCAACTTCTTGGACTCAAGGTAGTCCATGCCTTGAGCCACATCCCTGCCACAACCGAATGAGACAGAGCCGTGTCACCGAGAGTTCCCTGGGGCTGCACAGGGACGTGCAGGGCCCTGATCCCAGCCCGCCGGAGGAGGAGAACTTACAGAGCAAACAGGAGGAGTTGCTGGGTCGGGACGAGCGCCCGGCCCCGCGTGCGCAGGAAGTTCACCAGGTTGCCCTGACAGAGGAGGATAAAATGAGTCAGGACCAACAGGATGGGGCTGCCAGGAGACTTTGCCTTCTGCAGGTGCTGCAGTGCCTGGCATCTATGATGACTCAGCCCCTAGACAGAGATATTGTTCCCAAATCTAAGTGGTGATGGGTCACACTGACTGAGGAGCAGCCAGGTACTCTCACCTTGCTCATGAACTCCATGACAATGTAGAGGCCATTGTGCAGGATCACTCCCAGCAAACACACCAGGTTTTTGTGCCGGACCTTCCTGGAATGGAGGGGATCTGAGTAAGGAGGTGCCTGCTCATCCCGGGCCACAGGCAGGGTTGGGCCACGCCTGCATGGAGCACTCACGTCATGGCAGCTGTTTCAGCAAGGAAGGCCTGGGCAGTCACATCACACTTGATGTTCTTCACAGCCACCCTCTGCCCCAAGTACTCGCCCTGCAGGACATCTGGGAGAGCATGGGAGAGTCAGGACAAGCCCCACACCCACCCTCCTGTACCCCAGGCTGAGCTCCCCATGCCATGAGATGGGGAGGGGGATCAGGCAGTGCCATCTGGGGAAGCTGCACTGGGGAACCTCCAGCCCCATCCTCTCACCTACCTCCAAACTCGCCTTGCCCAATGCGGTCTCCCAGTGTGAGGTGCTTCAGGTTCAGCAACCAGCCAGCTGGGCATGGGCACAAGGGCAGGTTAGCAGGGGCCACCAGTGGGGCCTTGTCCCTAAAATGCAGACCACAGCCCTCTCCCATCATCCCCTACCTTTGGCCAACTCCTCCTCAGCTGACTTCATCCCAGATTTTGGTTTGGGCTTCACCAGCTTGGTGCAGATGGCTCCCTGCTCCTTCATGTAATGCTGTCAAGGGATGAACAGGTGGAGGTGATGCCAGATCTTACCCTCGGGGTCGGAGTGTCCAAGGAATGGCTTTGGGATGCTTCATGAGACTGCACCATTGACACTCTCGAGGACAGCCCATGTCTCAGCCTTGCTCCCCTCTGAGCATGGCCAGAGGAACACCACAATGGACCACAGGGGATGTGGGGTGCTACTGGTGTGGTTGAACCCCTGGCAGGTGCTGCAGCAGCTGAGGGCAGCTGGCAGAGGCAATGGGAGAGGATGCAGCCAGACAGGATGGGATAGGATGGGACAGGACAACCTTCAGAGTTTTAAAGTGGGGCCAGGACAGCTGAGAAGGGAAAGGAGTCACCCAAAAGTTGTGTCTAAAAGGAAAACACAAGAGTGCAACTCCCTGGAGAGGAGACAGGGTGAGGGAAGGACCGCCAGGAAAAACTCACTGGAAGGGTGAGAGCTCACACAACAGCCTGGGAGCCCTGTGGGGTCAGCAGGTGAGAGGGGGCTTTGAGTGGCGGGAGACACAGCAAAATGCCTCGAAGTCCAGGGGAGGCAGAGGCCACCAGGGTCTTCCTGCTATATGAAGCACTGAATAAGCAGGGATAGGGGTAATGTGGCCCTTGGCTAGGGACTGTGACTACAGTTGGCACAGCTGGATTGCAGAGACATCCTTAGGGTATTCCAGATCTGCCCACTGCACCCCAAACTGAGTGGGAACCATGAGCATTTGAAGGGGATAGAGAATTACACCAGGTAAAATACCAATGAAAACCACACAGAACAGGACAAGGACCTGCCTCTGTGTGAGCCCATGAGGTCCTTGCCCTGCTCTGGCACTGGTGGGACCCTCTGCCCGGGTGTCTCACCTCAATCATGTCAATGAGGTTGGAGAAGTACTGCTGGCTGTCGATGCTGAGCGTGTTCTCCTCGTGCACCACGCGGTAGTGGATCACCTCCTTGCCAAAGCTCACACACAGCACGTAGTCACCGGGGTGCCGGACAGACTCACGCACCAGGAACAGCCCGTCCTCGGGGGGCTGCAGCTCCTGCACCGCCTCCATCCCTGAGATCTTCCCGTGGAACCAGCTGTGGAGGGGGCATTGGAGAGGGGGCTGAGCCGGGGGGCTGAGCCAGGGGGCTGAGCCAGGGGCAGCAGCAAGATGGGGAAAGCAGAGCCCTGCCAAAGCTACACAGACCCTACTGCGTGAAACCCCTCTCCACGGGATCCAGCCAAGCTGGGCTGGCACAATTAGGGGCTCTTAAAGCCAGGTTCTGACCCCAGCAAATCCCTCCATCGCCAGGGCATGGCTACAGGATGCTCTGTCCCCAGCTGCACTCCCAAAACATGGATGGGGGGAACACGCTGGACTCATCTGCTGTTGCAGCTTCCAGGGGCTCAGCTGGGTCCCCCGGGGCCCCCCAGTGACCCCAGCGGTACTCACGGCATCAGGCTGAGTTTGGGGTCGGCGCGGATGGCGCCGCGCTCCCGCAGTGCGCTGGCTGCCAGCAGCCCCTCCTGCCCCGTCTCGTTGTGCCTGGCGCGGTACCAGCCTTTGCCCTGGGGACGAGAGGGTCTCAGAGCAAGGGAAGGAAGGGCGGATCCCTCGGGAAGGGGGGGGCTGGCTCTGACAGCTGAGCTGATGGCACTGGGGTCGCACTCCGGCCATGCCCTCTCAGTCAGCGTGTCCCTGAGCACCCACAGGTCTCACCTCCACGGCCTCGATGATGGTGACCATGTCCCCCTTGCGGAAGGCCAGCTCCCGGGGCTTGGGCTTGCTGTGGTCATGCTTGGTGACACACTGCGTCCCGGGGGGCCAGTGCTTCTGCAAGGAAAAGCAGTGTCAGTAGGGACAGCGAGAGCTGGACCCCTCTGCTTCCCCCAGGCACCAGGGCCAGCCCCAAGGACCATCTGAAACCCTGGCTGGGGACCAGGGGCACTGGGCATGAGCCCTCCTCCACCCCACTTCGGTCCTGGGGGCACACCAGGGTCCCCTGGTGCCAGCTGGCATTGCTGGTGTCCCTGTGCAGCCCCGCTCACCCCAGACATGGCCAACCGTCAGCGCATCAGGGACTCCCTGTCCTCTCCTGCTGCCACCTGCAGAAGAAACCAAAGGGGCTGTGGAGGGACGGGGCTGGGCTGGCTTGTCCCAGGTCACGGCTGCTGTCCCACAGACTCCCCTGGCCAGTGCAGCTCCTGTCCCTCACACAGCCTCGCACCACGGGATAGAGGAAAGGGCTGCAAACTCTGCCTGTGCCAGCTGGGTCCTGGGGACACTCCTGTCCCACACATGGATGGCAGCAGGACCAGCACTCTGCTCTCTGCCACCAAGTAAGGGCCCCAGCTCTCAGCAGCTCTGCTGGCACAGCAGCAGCCCAGCACCACAGCTGTGTGGGAGTAATGTGGTTTTATCAGGAACTTGCTGTTTCACCTCCTCTTTCAGGAGCTCCGAGTCACCAGGGCCCCGAGAGGCACCAGCCATGGCCCTGCTGACATGGAATGCAGCAGGGCTGCTGCGGGGGCTGCCTGGCACTGGGGACACAGGCGAGGCTGGGCTGAGGTGGGACTGTCACATGCACTGGCTGTGGGATGATTGCACAACGTCCCTGTGCTGTCCCTGACAGCAGCTGGTCATGCTGAGATGCATATGACAGCTTTGCAATTTAAAATCGTGGGTCTTTTTCTCCTTCACCACCACTGTCACCTCCTTGGGAAGATTATAGAATCAGGGAATGGGATGGTTTCAGAGGGACCTAAAAACCCATCTAATTCCACTCCCTGCCATGGGCAGGGACACTTTCCACTGTCCCAGGCTGCTCCAAGCCCTGTCCAGCCCGGCCTTGGGCACTGCCAGGGATCCAGGGGCAGCCACAGCTGCTCTGGGCACCCCAAGCCAGGGCCTGCCCACCCTGCCAGGGAACAATTCCTGCCCAATCTCCCATCCAGCCCTGCCCTGTGGCACTGGCAGCCATTCCCTGGCTCCTGTCCCTGCAGGCCTTGTCCCCAGTCCCTCTGCAGCTCTCCTGGAGCCCCTTCAGGCCCTGCCAGGGGCTCTGAGCTCTGTCCAGGGGAGCAGCCCCAGCTCCAGGGGAGCAGCCCCAGCTCTGCCAGCCTGGCTCAGAGCAGAGGGGCTCCAGCCCTGGCAGCATCTCCGTGGCCTCCTCTGGCCTGGCTGCAGCAGCTCCACGTCCTCCTGCTGCTGTTCCGGGGCTGGGGCAGCTCTGCAGGGGGGTCTGAGCTGAGCACAGGGGCAGAGGGGCAGAATCCCCCCCTGCCCTGCTGCCCACGCTGTGGGATGAGCTCCTTGGAGCAGAGATGACTTTGCTCCTTTGGAAGGTGAGTCACAATCACTGCTCTGCATCACTGCTGTAAACTCCTCTCTGGCAGTGTGGACCTAAGGACTGTCTGGATCCTGCCAGCCCATATCCACAACAAAACAGGGAGAACTGCAGCTGCTACAAGGTTAGTACTGGAAGGCAGCAGTTTTGTCTGTAGCAGAAGCCATCCCCTCGCCTTGCAGCCCATCCATGGCACACATGTGTCCTGGAGAAGTTGGGGCTGCACAGGCAGCCGCTGTGTGCTGTTCCCCAGCAGCACAGCCAGAGGCTGCCGTGACTGCGTGCAGCTCAGATCACTTCCAGGATGGTGAGGACCTCATGAGCACAGAGCTTCAGAACAGGGTCTGCTCCACACCTCTGCCAACTCTCCTTTATTTTCTGCTGCTCCAGGAGAGACATTTTGGGTGAAAAACAGTGACTGTTTGGCCAGTCCTGCCCCCTGTGTGCAGACAGCAGTTGGTGCTGGGGAGGGACAGATCCTCCACTCGAGTACTAAAGGGAAGAGCTTCTCCTCTGCCCAGCTGGCCCTGGGCTCAGGGTGATGGACACTCACCCCCACATGGACACCTGCTGCCAGCAGAGCCTGGACACCAGCCAGGGCCTCACCCAGGCACCAGCAGGGACAGCAGTGAATCACCTCCCTCCTGGTGACACTCACATGCCGTGTCCTAAGGCAGCTCTTTGTTCCTAGAGGTGTTTGATCCATGAGGTTCCCATCACTGGAATGAATGTTCCCACAAGCAGAGTGTGCAGGCAGAAAGCCTGAGAGAAGATATTGGCCCCCTTTGCTTTGGGGCTGTTCTGTACTTTTATGAATTGCTAAACCTGAGTAATTGCAGTGAGGATGAGAAGCACAAAAACATGGTGGGGGTTGGTAGAGCAGTCCTAACCCCGGACAGGAGAGCTCAAGCTTGCTCCCAGTGCACAGTTACCCGGGCAGGGCGGTGCCGGGGCTGAGGCCTGTGACAGAGGGAGCCCGGCTCGATGGAGCCGCGCCGCGCTCTCCCCTCCAGAGCAACCCCCGGCGGCACCGGGGCCCCTCGGGCACAGGGCAGCTCCTCTGCTGGAAAGCGGGGGACACGGGGCATCCCCACTGCCCACCGCGCTCAGCACCGTGCCCAGCCGTCCCTGCTGCCCGAGGGGACAGCAGCGGGGTGGCCTCGCCGGCCCTCAGCGCGCCCGGAGCTGGCTCTTACCTCTCCGCGCTGCCCATGTGGGGCCGGGGCCGGCGATGTCAGAGAAGCTCACAGCTGGGCCTGGACTTGGATCCCTGAGCTCCTGGGAGTCTCTGCCCTGCACAGAGCCGAGCACTGCGTCCAAGAGCAGCTCCCAGGCAGAGCCGGGCCCGAGTTCCTGATTTCTCTGCTCTGGGGCTGTGATGCAGTGCCCGGGCGGTCCCTGCGCTGGCGCCGCCTGCGCCCTCAAACTCCATCAGAAATGACTCATTATTTGACAACACTGAGAGCAACTTCTGCCCTTTGAGGGCACAGTCACACACCCTCCCTGGAAGGGAACTGGAGCTCACCAGATCCTCCCCCTGTGACTCTGTGGGGAATCAGTACCCCGGCAAACAGGGACAGCTGCTGTCACCACTGCTGGCCTGGCCAGAGCAGGGACAATGGAGTGCCTCTGGTGGCAACAGCTCTCCAGGGGGACTGAGTCCCAGGGGAGGAGGAGCTGGGCCCAGGCGTTCCCGGTGTAATTTTGCCTCAACATCGACTCTGTCAGCCTCGGAGTAGGTTGATCCAGGAGCACGGCCACTCTTCACTACTCCTCTGGGGGTGACAATCCAGAGGCACCACGGGTTGGGACAGGCAATGGCACAGAAACCTTTAAATGAGTACTGCTGTCAAGAGAAGCAGCTTATCTGTATCCTGCAGCATCCACAGAGTGGGGAAGGAATAACCACCTCCGCAGTTCGTCATCCTGGCCACAAAACCAGACACCAGTTCTGCACTAATGTTCAGCATTTCCAATATTCTGAGCAAAATGGTGAAAAAGAAGAAAATGTGGTTGTAGCCAAGCACCAGATTCATTCAGGGATCTTGGGATCTTTTGGCGTGTACTTTAAAAAAAAATAAAATGGTGTTTTAAGCCTTCAGAAAACATTGGCAATTCAAGGGCAAAGGCAGTGTAGAAGAAAACTAATCCAAATTAGCAGATACTTTCAGGTCCTGGTTATATTTTTCCATACACAAATAACTTTCCAAAGCCATTCAAGCCAGACTGTTTCCCCAGGAGCACTGCTTGCATTATTCCCTGTATTTGTAGGGATGGATCCTTAGAAACCTGTTCAGGCTGGAGAACAAACACGTGAGTTCATCCTTACAGCTCTGTGCTGCACTCCCAGGATCTGCACCAGGCTCCCCGTGACAAACAGCAATGTTTTGTGGTTTTGGGTTTTGCCACATCCGGCTGTTGTTACGGACATGACCACGGCCAAAGGACTCGGCGTCACACACAGGGAGCCACTCCCTCAGACATAATAAATGGGTTTTCCCCGTCCTGCTGCACAGCCAGCAGAGATTCCCACGTGCTTCTGCCTGAGCTGGTGTCCCCTTTCCATCCTGGGCCATGCCACCCAGCCAGAGCCTGACCTTTAACTCACGGAACTTCAGCACTGCCCTCTCCCTTCTCCGCTGCAGCAAAGGCAGCGCCCGGCTCGGTGGGTACTGCTGGACCTCCCAAAGCTACAGAGCCAAAACACCGGGACTGTGCAGCCCTTCCCAAGTCACTGAGTAAATGGGAAGAGGATGGGAACCTTTGTCTCACGTTCTAGACTGAGGCTTTGGCTACTCGCCAGTTTTCCTCCTGGCATTCTGCATTTGGGCCAGGGAGAGCAAGGCTCAACATCCTACAGAACAAATTACTGAGCAGTGCCATTCCTGGCAAAATCCAAGTTATCCAAAGGAGCAGAGTTTAGAGGTGCAGAGATGGGCAACAATATTCATCAGGAAGAGTACACATTTTGTACAAAAAACACACCTCCTGTCACCTCAGCAGGATCTGGGCATTAGCAGTCCCAGACCCACAGGCTCTCTTTTGGCAACTCAACCCCTTTCAGTCCTCTTGACTTGGGATTCACCAGAAATGTACCTTCCAGCCTGAGGAGTCTGCCCCGCATTTCAAACCTTCAAAAAGGGAACCAGAAAAGGGCAATAAGTCATAAAAGCAGACATGTCTTTGACATTCAATCTCCAGCATTTAAAGGGAACGTCACTCAGTTAAAACATGCTTTATCATAGCAAAGGTTCATCTTTCCACCCAGAAATACAGAATCACAGAAGCGCAGAATGATTGGTGTTGGAAGAGACCTTGAATAAGATCCCTTTCTAAAACCCTGCCATGGCAGGGACACCTCCCACTGTCCCAGGCTGCTGCCAGCCCTGTCCAGCCTGGCCTTGGGCACTGCCAGGGATCCAGGGGCAGCCACAGCTACTTCCAGCCCAAAGAGGTGCTGTGGGCCAGAGGCACCTGTGGGTGAACGGTGTGAAAGAACCCACAGAAATACATGAAATTATGTGTTCCCATCATGAGTGAGAAAAGGTGTGTGGAGAATATCCTAAAAATCCTGGTTTGGGGGGATGCACACAGCTCCTGGGCTGGGGCTGCCCCAGCTGGCAACATCTGCACCTCCCCCTTTGCCGTGGCTCATGGTGAGTTCAACACCTGCATTGGTTTTTATCCCAGGAATTCACTGGCCAGGAGTTTGGAGAGACCAAAACCAGGGGAAAGGCCCTTTGAGCTTTTCTCAGCCCCAAGCCACCGGTGTGTCCCTCACCTCAATGCTGCTGGCCCAGCTGGGGCCACTGCAGGGTCTGGCTCCCCCAGCACGTTCCCTGGCCCACGTGTCCCTCCATCACCTCTGGGTGCTGTGGGGCCTCCTGGAGCTCCAGGATGCTGTGATGGATGGGCAGGGGGCTGTGAGGAGCAGGAGGATGAGGAGGATGAGGCCAGTGCTGCCTCCCCAGAGCGATTCCCATGGCCAGCCCTGAGGTGAGGGGCAGCAGAGCCCATGGCCTTGGGGAGATGCTGCCTTAGCAAACTGGAAGCCAATTCCTGGGAGAGCAGCAGGTCCTGAGTCCTCACCTCACCACCCCTGATCCCTCACAAAGCTGTGCTTTTCTGGCTCTTATCTCTGGTTTTGCTCCAAATATCCCAGCTGGGCCTTGGTTCATCAGAGCCATTCCCTGCAGAGGCTTTCCAGGCAGGTGGAGCCTCGTGGGCAGGAGGCTCCATTGCCCCCATCCCAAAATAGTGGCACCAGCCCCATTCCCAGCTCCCCCTGCCCTCAGTCCAGGGGGATTTGTTGGGCCAGTCCTTGCCAGACCTCTTGGTTTGAATAGTTAATGATGGGTGATTTCATTTGTGGCTGCATTAAACATCTGATTACTCTCCTGTGGAAGACTAATTTGCAGGCAATGGAGACAGATGCTTCCCAAACTATCAGCCAAAAGGCCTAATTCCTGCACAGCCAACTTTTTTAATTTGCTTCCTGGTTGATTAAAAAAAAGTTTTACACAATAGAAGGGTCAAGGTGGTGCAAATCCTGTCAGAGAAACTTCAGTGCCACCTCTGCCCACCTGCAGCACCTGCACTGCTGCCCGGGGAAGCAGCTCTGGTGCTCCAAGGGTGAGACTGCACAGAATTCCAGAATCCCAGAGCTGGTTTGGAAGAGATCTTAAATCCCACCCAGTGCCACCCCTGCCATGGTGGGACACCTCCCAGTGTCCCAGGCTGCTCCCAGCCCTGCCTAGCCTGGCCTTGGGCACTGCCAGGGATCCAGGGGCAGCCACAGCTGCTCTGGGCACCCCAAGCCAGGGCCTGCCCACCCTGCCAGGGAACAATTCCTGCCCAATCTCCCATCCAGCCCTGCCCTGTGGCACTGGCAGCCATTCCCTGGCTCCTGTCCCTGCAGGCCTTGTCCCCAGTCCCTCTGCAGCTCTCCTGGAGCCCCTTCAGGCCCTGCCAGGGGCTCTGAGCTCTGCCTGGAGCCTTCTCTTGTCCAGGGGAGCAGCCCCAGCTCTGCCAGCCTGGCTCAGAGCAGAGGGGCTCCAGCCCTGGCAGCATCTCCGTGGCCTCCTCTGGCCTGGCTGCAGCAGCTCCACGTCCTCCTTCTGGTATTGGGGCCACAGAGTTGGAGGCAGCTCTGCAGGTGATTGTTGGTTTATTTGCAGAGAGGATAATTTGAAAGGCTCTTTCCCCCTGAATAAGCTTTAGGTGATGTCTTAAGCTCACTCTTCTGCGAGGGGCTGTGTCCAGCACTGGTTCAGGCACTCTTGTACAGCTGCATCTGTCTCTCTGCATCACCAGGAGCCAGACTGCTGCCTCCAGGAGGGGTTCCCCTCTGTCCCCAGCAGCCCCATGCAGCGGTGCTGACAGAGAATTTTCCCTAAACCTGTGCAGAGCAAATAACAATGCCCAAACCTCTGCCCCAGCAGGAAAGCAGAGCCTGGGCATGCTCAAGGGACAAGGGAAGATGCTCAGCTGCAGCTGAACTCGCGAGTTGGTGACACCCAGCCCCCATGTCAGGGCAGCTGTTTTATGGGGACACACCAGGCCTTGGCTGCAGTGTCCATGCTGGTGGGTTGTAGGCAGCACACAGAGACTTGTCCCACATGTGGTTGTTTTTTTCAGCCGTCTGTGCCCCTTGCCCTGAGTGGGGACTGCTCCATCAGTTCAAATCTTTAGTATCTGGCATCACAACTTGGCTCCCATTTACTAGCAGCACTTGTAGCAGGATCCGATGGTTTTACTTCCTAATTTCTAATGAGGAAATATTTTTGCAGCAGATGAACCTTTTCATCCTCTTTTGATCTGACTTAGATCAGGATAGAAAGTGCTCAGGATATTTTAACCCTTCCTAATCTTTCTGGCTTACCACTAACAGAGGATGATAACTGGATGGTAAAAAAGATCACAATCAAGGCATGAGGTTATGGCAGCACTGAGTGTACAGGGGGACAGCCCCAGCTCCAGCAGAGCTCAGGACCTGCTGCTCTGGGTTAGTTCATACAGTGGCCATGTAGTGATGGGACAAGGGGGAAAGGCTTTAGACTGAACAAGAGCGATTTTTGATGAGATATTAGGAAAAAATATTTCTGGTTATGAGGGTGTTGAGACCCTAGCACAGGGTGCCCAGAGCAGCTGTGGCTTCCCCTGGATCCCAAGGTCATGTTGGATGGGGCTTGGAGCAGCCTGGGACAGTGGAACAGCCCTGTCCAGGCAGTGGAGCTGGATGAGCTTTAAGGTCCCTTCCAGCCCAGCCATTCTGGGATTCTGATTCTACAAAACAATTCATCTATGTAAACATCTATGGAAGCTTTGAAATACATCCCTCTCCAGTACATTTTTGTATGGCTTATGAATAGGTTTAGAATATCTAAACAGAACCTTCTTTACACCCCCCCAGAAATGTACTCTAAGAAAAAACAGCCTCCTTTCACAATAAACAATGCAGAAAAAATGTTTTTCACTGAGTTCTAAAAAGCCATTCAAAATACTCCAAAAAGCCTGAAGGAATGTGAAGAGTGATTTGAAATTGAACTTTAAATTAAGAATCACAGTATTCCACAATGGTTTTGGTTGGGAGGGACCCTTAAAGATCCAGTGCCACCCCCTGCCATGGGCAGGGACACCTTCCACCAGACCTCATTGCTCCAAGTCCCATCCAGTTTGAAATTGAACTTTAGATTAAGAATCACAGTATTCCACAATGGTTTTGGTTGGGAGGGACCCTTAAAGATCCAGTGCCACCCCCTGCCATGGGCAGGGACACCTTCCACCAGACCACATTGCTCCAAGTCCCATCCAACCTGGCCTTCCTTGAGCACTGCCAGGGATGGGACAGCCACAGATGCTCTGGGCAACCTGGGAGCCCAGAATTCCTTCCCATCCAGCCCTGCCCTCTGCCACTGGCAGCCATTCCCTGGCTCCTGTCCCTGCAGGCCTTGTCCCCAGTCCCTCTGCAGCTCTCCTGGAGCCCCTTCAGGCCCTGCCAGGGGCTCTGAGCTCTCCCCAGAGCCTTTCCTTCCCTTCCCCAGGCTGAACACCCCCAGCTCTCCCAGCCTTCAACAAATACATGAAGCTGAAGCCTGTGGCAATTCTCTTGCTGTCTGCTGGTGTCACATCCAACAACCCAAGTAACAGCTCTGGTTCTCTCCATTGCACTCTTTTTCCAGGTACCACTATGACAGCACCATGCTGTGTTACAGCTTGGTCAGCTTTGTTCCAAACCACTGAGAAGGAAGCGTCTCCATGTCTGCACCTCGCTGTACAACCAGCTCCCAAACAGCCCCTGGAGCCCAGGACCCCTGCTCCAAAGGGTGGGGAGAAAACCCCAAACCCACACAGCAAAACCTGGCAGCTTCAGGCACTTCAGGCCAGAGGGCAGAAATCTAAAGTGACAAAATGTTTAAAGGATACACATGATACCAGAGTGTGTGTGGGATTTATTTCTTTTTTTTTTTTCTTTATTATATCTCTCTATATGTTTTGCTGTGGGAAGAGTTTCTTCTAGAGCAAGGAGTGGGAGGGAAGGAAACATAACAGAAGGAAAGGAACTGTTGCTACAGGCAACTCAACTCTTACACAACGCTGCAATTTCTGTAATGGTTATGGAATCACAGAATCATTAAGGTGGAAAAGACCTCCAGGATCACCAAGTCCAGCCATCAGCCCAGCACCACCTCCATGCTCACCACTAACCCATGTCCCCAAGTGCCCCAGGCACAGTTCCAGGCGTGGTGACTCCACCACTGCCCGGAGCAGCTGTGACAGTGCCTGACCACATTTCTATGAGGTTTTTCCCTATATCCAACCCAGACCTCCCCTGCTGCAATTTGAGGCTGTTTACCTTCTTGTCCTGTAATCTGTTACCTGGCAAAGTGACCCCAGCTGGCTCCACTGTCCCGTCAGGGGTTGTACAAGATATCAGACTAACTCAGGACTTATTACAGGTAAAAATTGCAATCATATGAGCATTATTTCATACATGCAATATCATTACTATGCAGCATTTCTTGTTTGTAAATCTTCCACCTCCTTCGCCCTCTGCTCTTCTTTTTACTTTGTGCATCAAATGTATTCCTTTAAGATTTCAGGTGCCCTGATTATGTTTTTTTTCCCCTCAAAACCATCGCTTTTAAACCATGCCAGGAGAAGGAGGAGATAAAATGGTGACCCAACTGAAATGAAAGCAGCTGTATGGAGGAAATACACAGAAATCTGCAGTTCTTCCCACACACTATGGAAGATGGAATTCTAAGTTATTTAGAAGTTCATTACCACCATTACACCATACACAGAAATTAAGCTTATGTTGCAAAACCTCACCTAAAGCTACAGTAGCCAGTGCCT